GGTCAAAGTTCATTGCACAGGAACAGGAACACCGTCAAACAGAAACAACACAAAACCTCCAAAAGGTATAAAAATCCGCCCACTCCCAGCTCCATTTTGTCAGCCACCTCAGAAATATGCTGCTGTCACTGAAGTTTCTGGCAATTAAATAAACTGAACCTTGTTTCCTAAGCAGTCTCCATTTTGTTTATTCCCGGCTTGGACTGGACCCTGATGAAGATTTTTCTTTCAACAATAGAATGCTAGGACTGGAAGGGACCTTGGAGGCCTTCTAGTCCAACCTTTTGCTTGAGCAGACCTTATACCATCCCAAAGAAATGACTGTCCAGTCTCTTGAAAACTTCTAGCGATGGTGCGCCCACCACTCCAGGAGGCAAGCTGTTCCATTGATTAATCGTTTTCACAGTCAGGAAATTTCTCCTTAGTTCCAGGTTGGTTCTCTCTTTAAGGAGTTTCCATCCATTCCTTCTTGTCCTGCCTTCAGGTGCTTTGGAGAATAAAAGTTGCCATGGCTGACAAATGCTGAATGCTACACCTTGTTTACTCAGGCCCCAATAAGTATTCATAAGTCATATATAAATCAAAGGGGACTGAAGGCTAAAACATTCAAAGAATGGTTGCAGGAATTGGATATGTCTAGTTAAAGACAGTGTGATTTGATAGCAGTGCTCCAATATCTCAGGGGTTGCCACAAAGAAGAGGGGGGGGGTCAACCCATTCTCCAAAGAACCTGAAGGTAGGACAGGAAGCAACGGATGGAAAGGAGAGAACCAATCTAGAACTAAGGAGAAATTTCAATTAATCAGTGCAACAACTTGCTTCCAGAAGTTGTGGCTGCTCCATCACTGGAAGTTTTTAAGAAGAGATTGGACAGTCACTTGTCTGAAATTGTATAGGGTTTCCTGCCTGGGCAGGGGGTTGGACTAGAAGATTTTCAAGGTCCCTTCCAACTCTGTTATTCTGTTATAATTGCATTTCAATTTATTAATCAGTTTAAGTAAGTAAGTAAGTAACAAGTAAGACAACTTCTGAGCTCCAGATAGTCACCAGCGTATCACTTCAGCCTCCGTCTCCAACTCACTCTGACTGAGACCAGCAGCCAGGTGGGTGCGTAAAAGAGACAATTTCTCTTTAATGACGCTCCAATTCAGGTTTATAATTCTTCCATCCCACTTATGCAATTATTCCATCTAGCCCAGCAGTTGGGCTTCTCCTTTTAAACACTGGAACAATTAGAAGACCAGAAAGCTGGGACACAGATGGAACAATGTCAGGAAGTCAGCGATTGTGTAAATAAAAGAAGGGAATTAAGCAAAGAAGGGAATTAACTTTGAAGAAAAAGGAAGCCATTTGAAATCTTCTGTTATGTAAATCGAGGTCACTGCATGGCCTTTGGCAACCTTAAATAGGGAGGTTTGTAGCCCTCCCCCATCCTTTACCCCTCCCTTTTTGTGGACCCTGCATTTTTATAACCTTAGCTCTTCCCCCCCTCCCCTCGTGAAGCAGACAAGCCCCTCTGAATGAAATTTGACCTGTAAGGTGGTTTAGTTCTAGACCCCATAAACAATAACTTTCAAAAAGAGTAAGGCAAGCATTAATCGTTAACGGTAATCGCCATCATTCATCCGGCACCTGAATTTCTACTAAAGTTACCGTTGTCAACAGAAACACAAGGCACCACAATGAAAACCCTATGGATCCTTAATGGCCCTACACAAAGTCCTTTTGCCAGTTAGCTGCAGAATAAGCCAAAAAAAAAAAGAAAAAGAGAAAGAAAGAAAGAAAGAAAGAAAGACAAAGAAAAGGAAAAAAAAAGGAAAGGAAAAAAAAGCTGGATGAGAAACAGGGCTGATGCAATTCAGAAAACTTTTTATTTCTCTATCATTTACCTGGGAAGAACAGAGCAGAGAGGAACAGAATAAACAGTGTTGGAAGGGACCTTGGAGGTCTTCTAGTCCAACCCCCTGCTCAGGTAGGAAACCCTATACCATTTCAGACCAATCTCTTCTTAAAAACCTCCAGTGATGGAGACACCCGCGGCTTCTGGAGCAGTGGTTCTCAACCTTTTTAATGCCGCGACCCCCAACCGGTCGTAAGTCGAAGACTACTCAACCGGTCATAAGTTGAGGACTACTCAACTGGTGCAGCACCGTTTGCAGAATGGGACTTTTGGCGGGCTCAGCAGGGCAGAGACAGCCTGGACAATTCCTATTGGCTTTTGAAAGCCAATAGAATTAGACTCTATTCAAGAGAGTCTATTCTATTGGCTTTCAAAAGCCAGTAGAATAAAAGGGAGTAGCACAGCTAAGGAAAAGGGGAAAAAAAATGGCAGACTGCGTTGTTTGGTGACCCCCGTGAAATGGTTGTTCGGCCCCAAATGGGGTCCCGACCCACAGGTTGAGAACCACTGTTCTGGAGGCAAGTTCTACTGGCTAATTGTCTTAACTATCAGGATCTTTCTCCTTCAGTCCCCTTTGAGTCAACCGATGCTGTCCTGAGTAGGTATGACTTGGACTGTACTCTTCCATGCCGCAAACTACAGGGAGCCCTCAATGTACCACCACAATCGACCCCAACAGTTTCGTTGCTAAGTGTGTTTTGCCCCATTTTATGACCTGTTTGGCCACAAGCGTTGGCTAAGCAGCATGGAAGCTATAGTGCAGCAAAGGCTGGGCCAGGTAGCTAGTAACCAGCTACTTTCACTTGCTTTCTTCTGCAGGATTTCAAAGGCTTCCTCCCCAAGGAGCTTGTTAGAAGAAGCTTTCCACTCGTAACTGGCACCTTGTCAGAAGCCAGAAGGGCTTTGCATCATGCTCCAAATCTCCCTTGTTGGCAAATGTTGACTAGAGGGAAACATGAGGTGTGGAGAAGCAGAGCAACGGGTAATAACATGTCAGCCAGTGGTGGGTGGCACCAACGGATTGCCAACAAACCCACCCCCTTTAGCCTAGTCACGCAGGGGTAGGCAACCTTGGCTCTTTTATGACTCGTGGACTTCAATTCCCAGAATTCCTGAGCCAGCTATGCTGAGGAGAAATGGAAAAGTTTCCATGCTAAGCCATGCTGGCTCAGGAATTCTGGGAATTGAAGTCCACGAGTCATAAAAGAGCCAAGGTTGCCTACCCCTGGGTGGGTTGTGTGAATCCAACCCCTCGGCTCTCTTTTACGGTTCAGAGATTTTGCCCGAAGGAGTTGGAATTTAAAAACCTGAGCTGAATAAACAATAGTTTGTCTGGTGTGCCCAGAGCTAAGGAACCATTGGGCGTGGGCTTACTGGTTGCCGGGCTTAGGATGCTGTGTGTAGCCAACTGTTGTAAATCTTGGATTGTGGATGAGAGGGTTGTGTGAACTCACCCAAGGATGGCTTGGGAAACCATGGTTAAGCAATCTGGGGAGCAAATTGTGAGACCTATTTGCTTTCTTTGGAAAGGTTACAGAGTATAAAATGTTCTCTTCCTTGTAAGTCCTGCTTATTGTTTGGGATTTAATTTTGAGTTGATAGGTCCACGCTAAGCCAGGTTTGTTGATTTAGCTGAAATCTAAACAGAAATAATTAGCTGATGTGTTAAACAGAGGCAAGGCAAATTCAGCAATGGGCAGAGGAGAATTATCGTATTTTTCCTTTCTCTTAAGAATGGAACTGGAGAGAGACAAGGATCTATTCATCCTTGTCAGGCATATACATTTTAATTTTTGATATGATTTGCAGCATCTCTGAATTAGGCTGTGAAATTTCTCCTTAAAACATTTGCACGAATCGCCAGGCCAAAAGAGGATTGGCTGGTATCTTGTGCACCGGGCAAGTCTACCAATTCCTGGTGTTGTGCAAATCCAACTCCTGGATTTCATTTAACCAGACTTAAATAAATAAATAAGGGGGCGTGCGTTGGATCAAACAGCTATAATTTGTGGCTAGAATAGCCCAGGATCTTGCAGCGAGTCAAGTGGCAACTTTAAAACCACCCTGGCTTTGACATTTCGCTTGATCTGGTTCTGTCTAATCCACCCAAACCCTTCCATCGTGTGGTTTTAGCCGCCTTCTCCCTATAGGCCTCAGGGATGGGGCAAAATTCTTGAATGGTGGACCTTCTACTTTGGCTGAATGAGTAGAACCAGCATCCCTTGTCTTTGGTCCCACTGAAATGGATCTTCTTCAGACGTTCCAGGGAAACAAAAAAAAAAGGGGGGGATTGAATCTGATCACTAGTTTGGGACCAGCAGTGGACCCACTTGCCACTCACAGCAGCTTCCCCCCCCCCCGCGTGTCCAGGGTTGGTGCATCCCATCCATTCAGCATTGAACGGATGGGCCTTGTGGTACAATACATAATCCCAGGTGTGCTTCTCTCCTCCATTCGTTTCCATCCATTGTTTCTTGTCCTGCCCCCTGGGAAGTGGACCCCTCCCCCCCCTTCTCACCACTTTTTCCAAAGCCTCAACCTCTTTTTGTGTGTGTGTAATTCAACAGTGTCTCACAACTGTTTTGTAAATGGACACCCTCAATAAAGGGGTCCTCTTCAGGCTGATCTGGAGGTCTCCCAGCCACTCCCGCGGTGGGCTCCGGCCCCGTGCACGCCCACGCACCCCCCCCCATCATTCCTTCTCCCTAACATCTGGACGGCCTGCAGAGGACGGCATTTCTGGCCCCCCTCCCTCCTCCCCCACCCCCCCCTCTTTGCGCTGTACAGAAGTCCATCGGCACAGAGGGAGGGGGGGGCGTCCTTCCCGCGTCGCAGCGTGGACCCTTCCTCGCGATCTGCAGCGACCCCCTGGCATTGCAAGAGGTGGGAAGTGGAGGGAGGGGGGAAGGCTTCTTCCTCGGAGGACAGGCTGACCTGTCAAGGCTGTTGTGCAAGGGAGGGAGGGAGGGGGGGAGACCCGCCCGGACGGCACGTCGAGCCGGGGCGAGGAGGAGGAGGAGGAGGAGGAAGAGCGGGCGCGGCTTGCCCCTGACGAGCCCCCGCGGAGAGCGCAAACTTCTGGCCGTTGTCTGGCCGCGGGGTTTCCATTGGCTGGGCGCGCCCGGGTCCCGGCTCCTCCTCTCCCCCCCCCTCCGTGGGCGCCTTCCTCCTCCTCCTCCTCCTCCTCCTCCCCCTCCCTTGACTCGCGAATTGCGATTGCGGGGAGGGACGGGCGAGAGAAGAGGAGCGGCCGCGCCAGCGCCGCCACTCCGGATCAAGCTGGCGGGACTTGCCGGGCGCACGGAGAGCGGAGCCTGCTGCTGCTGCTGTTGCTGCTGCTGCTGAACCGGAGCGCCAGACCCTGGTGGAAAGCGGAGCGACTCCGGATCGAGGGCCAGACGGAGCTCGGACTCGGGAAGGAAGGAAGGAAGGAAGGAAAGAAAGAAAGAAAGAAAGAAAGAAAGAAAGAAAGAAAGAAAGAAAGAAAGAAAGAAGGAGGAACGGAAGGAGAAAAGGGAAGGGAGGGAGGCCTGAAGGAAGAAAGGAGAAAGGGGAAGAAGGAAGGAAGGAAGGAAGGAAGGAAGGAAGGAAGGAAGGAAGGAAGGAAGGAAAGGGGCGAGCGCCCCCGAGACCCCCTCCCCAAAGACCGGCGCGCCGCCTTTGCAAACTCTCCACCCGGGCGCCGAAGCTCCGTCCGGGAAGAAGATGCGGCGGCGGCGAGGGCTGCGGGAGCCGGAGGTGAGAGGAGAGAAGGGAGGAGGAGGGGGGGGCACTACACTTCCCATCGGGCGCAGCCGGGCTGCCTCCACCGGGTGGTGGTGGTGATGATGGTGGTGGTGGTGGGGCTCCCGCTAAGAAAGGCTGTCGGGCATCATCCGGGGCGCCTGGAAGGCTTCGCACGTGACGGGCAAGGAGGGAAGAAAGTGAGAGGCGTGTTTACGCGGAAGTCAGGCTTGCGGGGTGTCGTTCCCCCCCCCAATCCCGGCCAGTGGAAAACCTGGGATCTATTATTGTTATGGTTGTTATTAATCGCGGTTCTGATTTGCTGCTTCGGAGAGCCGGGGAAACTTCAGGCAAACTCTCCAGTGGCATTCCTACTCTGGAGTAAATTTGCAGAGGTTGCGCCCTCCCCATCCCGGCCAACGCACCCCCCCTCCCTGTCCCCCCCCATCCGCCAGCTCGGTTGGACTTCGGTTCCCATCCTCCCCTGCCCGTGCCTCTACTTGGTGGGGAAGGAGGTGTGCGCTGCCCAGGCCTGTGTCGAAAGAGACGGGGCTTGATATGCTCTCTGGTTGCATCATGTTCTTGGAGTGGGGGGGGGGCAGGTATCCAAGAACATCCAGGTGTTCTTTCTTCGGGGGGGGGTCGTTGGGTGGTGGCTGGCACCCAGTGTCTTTTCCCAGATAAACATGTTTTTTTTTTAAAAAAAGAAGGGGGGGGAATCCTGTTTATTTTATGAATGGTGGGATTGGAAGGCAGCCAAAGGACTGAAGAGTTTTTTCTTTTTTGGGGGGGGGTGTTGTACACCCAGAAATATGTTCTCCAGCTGCCCCCTTCCTCCTCCACGTCGGGCACGACTGCCCGCCTTTAAACCTAGATCTCTTGAAAGGAGGTGGCGAGATAGGGAGTGCCAAAGAAAGAAGAAGAAGAAGAAAAGGTTTTATCTTCCAGAATCCAGCTATGCTCAAATTGGATGCCAACCTCTCTGGCTTGCAAAGCACTTTGTACATGTTCGCAGAAGCCCTGTTAAAAGTCAGCCTTGCTTGTTTTTTTTTTTTTCCCCAACAAAAATGGTAACACCAAGTTTCTGAAGTAACCAGAAAAACAAAACAACAAAACCAGGGGAGCTTTTTGAAGCAAACTGAATTCATGTTATGCCATTTATGTCGCTGGGTGTGCTTGTCTGTTTGTGACACAGAAGCTGTTTATCTCCTGCCTTTGACAAACTGTTTAAATGAGTTGTTTGAGATTTCCTTTTTTTTTTCATGCATTCCCTGAGATCATTTGTTACGGGTTGGAGGGCTACAAAAAAAGGGGCCTTGAGCCATTTAGGGATTGCTGGCGGTGGGGATGTGTACATGTGTGTATTTGCACACGCACGAAAGCATGCTTAGGGCTTCTCTGCCTATGCATGGCCTGCCATGCTTTTAAAAGCAGACATTTTGCCTCCTGGAGAGATGTGGGCAGTGGTTTAGCTGTGAAAGCAAATGTTTGCGGTAACTATAGTGCTTGGGTACACAAAGGTGTTGTGTGTGCGTGGAGGCTGTAGGAAATGCCACTGCTGCGAGTTAGTGAGTGCCGATTGGATGGCTGGCACATGTTTGGTGCTGATTGGTTTGAGTTGCTCTGAAAAACCCAATCCTATAAAGCAGGGGTGTCCAACGGGGCAACTTTAAGACTTGTGGATCTCAACTCCCAGAGTTCCCCAGCCCCGGAATTCTGAAAGTCGAAGTCCACAAGTCTTAAAGTTGCCAGGGTTAGACACGTCTGCTGTTAAAGAGTCAAGAAACGTGGCTTGTTGTCATCCTTCCAATCCCAGTTGTTCAGGTTGCATCTGTTTTTTTCTTTTTAATGCATCTGGGACGTGTGTCCATGGGCTACCTTGTGCCTATTTTCTTATGAGTAGACCTGCCTGGGACCTTAGTAGAGTAATATTTAGAGTCTGGGGGAAAAATAGCCAGGAGAAATATTTTGGGGATGAAAATTGGTCCTGTCTTCCCGTTAAGACTCTGATGGCATTTTTAGCACCCCTATTTAAGTTGGGAGGAGATGGCAAAAGATACATATTTGCTCCTTGCTGTTTGTTTATTTGTTTATGTTTTTGTTTGAGTCCTTTGCGGGTCTGTGATTTTTATATATAGAATACAAGCCACGCACAACGCGTATGTGCGAAACTTTAAGATCTGCCTAGAAAACCCGTCAAAAGAAAAAAAAAACCCCAATGTGCAAAGAAGTAACATTTCTACATACTCAGATTTGAGTGAATATATGATATATTAAGTGATTTTTAGCTGCAAGGATCTCCAGGTTTTATGCAATGCGCAGGCCTCGTTTCCTGTTGAAAGAGGAGAAAAAAAAATGGAGAGAAAACAGGAATCAGCTCATTTGGTTTAAGTGCAGGGACAAAAATTAGCATCAGCAATATCTCCATGGTCAAAATTTCATCAAAACCGAGACAATTCCAACAGGGCTGTGTTTATGACCGTTGCCGAGTCCTGAGGCCACAAGTGACTTGTCATTTGCGACCTTTCCCCAGCTGGCTTTTGACAAGCAAAGTTAATAGGAGAAACCTAGATTTGCTTAATGATGCGCGATTCCCTTAACAATTGCAGAGATTCGTTTAACAACCGTGGTCATAATATCAAGGGCGGCTCACTTAGCAACAGAAATTTGGGTCCCCCAGTTGTTTCGTAAGTTGAGGACTACCTGCCTTGAAATTAAACAAGGAAGGATTTGTAGAGCAAGGAACAGCAGCCACCCACACGGTTTCCATTTGTATTTTCCCAGGATCTTCTAGTACTAGGTCAGCAAAACCAGATTTGAAAACTCCCAAAGTCTTAAGATGTCAAAGTCATAAATTCCTTGCAAGAGACCTCTGGAAAGTGAGGCAATGTTTTGTTTTTTTTAAAAAAGATTGAACACAAGGCATCCTCAACATGTCAGAATGTGGGAGTCTGCCTTTGCCAACATTAATCTCTCCCAGGAATGTATTTTTGGGGAATATTTTCCTTCTATGTGTACGATAAATTTAAATTAAGGATCAGCCGAGAAAGACTAGACAGACAGCAATAGTGCCATTTTTATAAAAAGGAAGTGGTGAGATCTACATAAATGAGAATATGACCTGTCAAAACCTACCAGAGGTAAAGGAAGACGTATAATATATCTTATGCTTAGGAAAAAAAAATATGTATAGGAAAGATAAAATGCCTATTTAAGAAAACATCTGGTTTAACTCCAGATAAGGAGACATCTGTTTTAACTACGACTCTGGAGACAACTGTTTTCACTCTAGATAAGGCAATGTTTGTTTGCAATAAGCTAATACATTCCTTTCTATGGATCATGACGGGCTAAATTTTTAATTTCAAAAAAAAAAAAAAGGGAGAGAGAGGAAGATACGCTACCTAAGAGAACAATTTAAAAATACATTAGGCGTGACTAACACTCCAGAGAATTGAGGTCTCAGGGCAATTAGATGCTGCACTTTAAAAATGCCAACGAAGTTCCCATAAGTTACCTAACAGCCACATGGGGAAATGAGAAGGAGAACCATGTGATAGCCATATTCAGAATTTGATAGCTTCTTTTCGGACCAAGAAGAGGTTATACTAACAATCACAATAACCAGCATATTGTTAAGGATGAAAAAATGGTGGGTTTATGAGGGAAAACAAAAATCCAAGTTTATTATGTTTCCATCTGCTACTCGGTTACGAGTCGATTAAAATGAGCCGTAAAAGCAATAAAATACATTTAGCATATTGAAAAAGAGGTTCAATAACAGCTAAAGGTGAAATATTGCGTAAGTCACCAATTCTCAGCTAGGGCCCCAAGGATATTTTAGGGGGCCTGGGGTGAAAAATGCACATGGGGATGTTACTGCAGTGCCAGTGCGCCCCCAGAAATACAAAGTGTACTCTTTATTTATTTTATGTAATTATTTTTAATTGCATCGCACCTTTATTATTTTTACAAATAATTCAAGGCGGAAAACATATCCAATATACTTCCCTCCTATTTTCCCCACAACAACAACCCTTTGGGCTGGACTGGGCTGGGGGAGAGGGAATGAGAGAGAGAGAGAGAGAGAGAGAGAGAGAGAGAGAGAGAGAGAGAGAGATAGATTGGTTCAAAGTCACCCAGATGGGACTAGAACTCACTGTCTCCTAGTGATTGGTCCTGAGTTCCCCAGTCATCTTTCATAATTAAAGCAGGACTAGAACTCACATCTCCTGGTGCTTGGCCCAGAGTTTCCCAGTCGTCTTTCATAATTAAAGCAGGACTAGAACTCACCGTCTCTGAGGAATTGGCCCAAAGTGACCCAGCTAGCTTTCATGTCTCAGGCGGAACTAGAATTCACAGTCTCCCAGTTTCTAGCCTGATACCTTACCCAGTGAACCAAACTGGCTTTACATATGCTGTTTTGTTGACAATCGGGAACACACTAGTTGCTATCTGTATCCAGGACAGGGGGGAGAAAAATAAGGTGAGAAGGGGGCCAAAATAGGTGGTGTAAATAATGATGTTGGTTGTAAGCTGATACTAGTGTAAATGATGTTGGTTGTATCCTGATAGTCCTATAACAGCAGTTGTATCTTTTGATAATTTTTCCTGATTGCATGTAATGGAATATCTCTTACCGTTCATAGCCAGTTCTCTTTTCCAAGGATTTTTGAAATCTTTTTTGTAAGCTCTCTCTCTTCCCCCCCCCTCTCTCCTTCTCTTTTCCCCCTCTCTCCCACTCTGTTTCTCTCTCTCTCTCTCTCTCTCCTTCTCTCCTCCTCTCCTTCTCCCTCTCCCTCTTCCCCCTCTTCCCTCTCTCCCACTCCATCTCTCTGCCTCTCTCTCCCCTCTCCCGCTCCCTCTCTGTCTATTTCCCTCTCTATCTCTTTCTCTCCCGCTCCCTCTTCCTCTGCCCCCCTCTCCCCGTGTGTGTGTGTGTGTGTGTGTGTGTGTGTGTGTGTGTGTGTGTGTGTAAAATCACTTAGCAAACAGCATTGATCATAAGAGCTGGT